ACCCCAGGAAGGGCAGAAGGCATGGACATTCCAAAGCGCTGTATCGAACCAGCGACACAATGTATCTTACAAGACACCTTCTATCACTGAACTACGAGACCTAAAAGTGATTAGTGCGTGGTTTCCAGTTAATCATTTTTCTTCTACTGACATTATCGTTCCAATGGCGCGAAATCTCCTCGTAGTAATCAGGAGGTCCGAGAACGACATTGCAAATCTGAGCAGCGTCTTATTCTCCAGGAGCGTTATTTGAGGGTGAGGAGAGAAACTGAATACAAGATTTTGTCCTAAGCCAATCTAATGGCAGAATTTTCACCATCATTTTTAGCCTTTTTTAAGCCGGTCATTGATAAAAAGCGCTTTTCTTGCCCATAAAGATCGCTTCTGATGAAAATTAGGAAAGGGCATGGCGCAATTTTCTTGGAAGTCAACGGAAAAATCAGCAATATAGTGGCATGAATGAGAATATGTAGGGCCTGAGTATTTGATGGTAAGTAAACACAAACTTAGCGTTGTCTGAAAATGATATTTTGCACTAGAAATCGGCCGTTTTAGGCTGGTGAAATAAATTGAATTATAATTGAATGCAACATGAGCACGATAAAAAAATGAGTTTACTAGCAAAAAACGTAGAAATACATTATATCGTAAAATTCATTAACGACATCGGTTTGGTATGTCCGACATAATGAAAAGTGAATTGGTATGCAGAATATTTGATAGCGGACTTTACAGACAAAGCATAACCATTAAATGTAAATGCAAAGCAGCAAGCTGACTGTCGCCATACATACATGTAAATGTACAAATATATATATGTGCGTGTGCACGCACACATACATATATACATCTATATATATGTGCATTTGTAGCATATGTACGCATATATATATGTACATATATATGTATATATATATATATATATATATATTATACCGCACTTTTCTATTGTCGGACGTGAATAATTGACGCAAAATTTTTCTCTGTACAAAGAATTCTCGCCGATTCTTCAGTAATTTGTCGGAATTTTAGTTTTTGGAAAAGTGGAAAACTAACCTTGTTTCTGGAAAAGCCTTCTCGCGCTGCTACAGCAGTGAAAATTGAACTGTGTTTCACATGTGTCGCGCATCATCGTGCTTATATTTCGCAGAGCAGAGCTCTCCCCTTAGACTACTGATTCATTCGAGAGCGTAAGTTCCTCCAACAGTGTATTCATTTCCTTAAAAGACCCTTTTACTGCACTGCAACAGGGAAGTGGAGGTTGGGATTCCAAACGCCGCGCATTGTTGGTCGGCTGGCGAATGGCAGTGGCTGCGTGTAGATCGCTTGGCTTATCGGTCGCGCTGCGCGCTTCACATGTGCAGCATGATTTTTGTTATTGTTAGGGTTTTTTATCCGCTTTGAAAAAAGAATTCTAGATAGCATATGACTCTGGTACTGCAAGATTTCCTTCATACGTTTTTATGCTACCCGTGCATAGGCTTAGTCTTAATAGCAAGTTTATTTGGCAGAATGAAACAAAAGTGGAATGCCTAAGCTTATAAAACGATAGAGCAAACTTCTTTCACAGTTTCTGTACAGAAAGCCTGAAAATTTCGGCGAAATGAAGAAATTTAAGACAACGGAAATCCACGTGATAATTTGCGACGTGTGTGAAACAATTCTATTTCACCTACTACAGCGCCTTAAGAGGTCTTTCTGGAAAGCATGCACATCTTTGAATTCTGTGAGATCTAAGCTTTTGAATGGAAATTTAAAGTCTAGTGGGAATTTTTTGTCCAAAAAAAAAGGTTTCTTCAAAAATCCCTTCCGAGTACCGTACCTATACAGGGTGCGAGAACAGTTTTGCCAATTTTGTATTCTTGTCGATTTTAGCAATGGTGTTATATTTTCATTAATTCTAATACATTTACTGAATTCTTTGTCCAATTTTGGTATGCAATCTATTTTATTTGTTTTTCTGTTTTCAGCTGTGCTAAAGCTATGGACTGTAAAGATGAACGTATCATAGTAGTTGAGTTGTTTTGGAAATAAAAACGGCTGACATTGTTAGAATCGACTGGTTTCTAATCAGCAGATGTCTGCAGAGCCGTGAAACGTTTCAAGCCTAAGGAATGGATTAAGGACCGTTCTCGAAAAGGTTGTCTAACTAGCTTGTCTACTACGAGAAACATTGAGAAGTTTGGATAGATCACGCGCTCCCGGAACGAGTGAGATGCGGGTTCTAGTCCCGCCTGAGGAAAGTTTTGCACATCACTCTGCATCAACGGGTATATTCGAAACATCATATCACCGCTAGAGCTTTTAAATAAAAAGAATTTCAATTGATGTCTAATACCCAATATCAGTCAGTGTTACTGTATTCAGTGTCGAGACCGAGTACTCGGGCCAGGCCGTTGACGACTGGCGGCTGACAGATAAATGTGCCGTAGCGTAGAAAGAATGGCGGCGTGCAAATTGGACGTCAGTAATGTATCGGATAGAGCACGCGCTCCAGGAAAGAGTGAGGTGACGACTCTAGTCTCGCCTGATGCGAAATTTTTGCACATCACTCTACATCAGTGGGTATATTCAGAAGTTCCGTTAACGAGTGCAACGAGATGCGGAGCGATCGATACGCAAAATGACTCGAGAAGCTTAACATCAGCGAGTGGAGTGCCCGAAACATTATCAAAATAAGTTTAAGCCGCGCTTGTATTCATTTCCTGTACAGAAAGATGGAAGATAAACAGCTTTCAGAGGCTCGGCGAATGATTCGTTTGACAGGTTTGATAGCTGGTGCTCGTTTACCGTAGGTGCTTCTTATGGATGAGAAGAAAATCACAATCAAACCACTCCACATTAGCCAGAATCGACGTTAGCATCGCAAGAAGGTTCAGTAGAAGTCCACATTATAAAAACCATGGGCCGAAGTTATTGTTCGGCCTTTCTGGTGAACTGGGTCGGCATTTGCGCCACCGGAAAGACGTCGCTGGCCTTCATCAACAGAAACGTCAAAATCAACGCTGCTAGCTATCAGCAACGAATTTACGGGACGTTCTGGAGCCTTGGATTACTCGAAACTTTGGCGCCAACGGATTTATGCTTCAACAGTATTGAACTTCTGCGTAGTTGGCCTACTTAAGGTTTGTCATCTGACAGGAAGTGTTTCAAGTTTTTGAAGCAACCACATTTGCCCTCAAATTCGCTGTATCTCAACCAAATGGATTACTCTGTGTGGTCCATAATGGAGGAAGAAGTCTCAGCCATTCGCTGCACTAATACTGACACGCTCAAAACGGCTTTGACATGCGCTTGAGACGAAATTACGGTAAAGCACGTGTGCGAGCGTCGTCGCAAAATTTTCGCAAGCGACTTCGTAAGTGTATGAATGCCAAAGGAGGCAATTTAGAGAGTTTGTTATGAACTTTCTTGTTTATTGTTTTAGTTGTTGATCTTACAAACGTAACTACTCACTCAATGAAACAATTTCATTTATTAATACAGTATTTTTTTTGCTACTGGAATATGTGAAAAAATTGACGGAGCTTTTCTCGCATACTGTGTATACATAAATGTAGACACATATATGTACACACGTATATATATATATATATATATATATATATATATGCATGTTACATGCATATGTGCATATTATATATATTGAATAGAAGAATAAAATTAGAAAGGAATCACAAAATGTTGAAATGAATTGATGTTAGCGACTATACGGTTCATGGACAATGGTCAGAAGTGTTACGCATAACTCACATGGTTTTAGTTCTATCCCACACCCACCTCACAAGACTTTCCGCTTGTTCGCCATCTCAAAAATAGTATGACCTATTTGGAAGGATAGCAGTACTGATTTGATACATCTCCAGACACGCTACCGTGGGTCATTATTTGAGCTAAATGCACGTACATTACTTGTGACGGTACTAGATGTCGTCTAGTCCGCGATGCATCACTCTGTTGGGGTTGAGTAAAGGATAATACTTCTTTGCTCCTTACTGTCAGGTATTTAGTGTACTCAAGCAATTGAAATCAAGCACACTTGTCTCGAAGTAGAAAGAAGCTTAACGTCATGCTGTGAAGGCGACCAAGATGTTCCTAATATGACTGCGCTGTTTGAATTATCGAACACTCGAATGTGGAAACTCTTGTGCGAAACCACTATTAAATAAATTTTTAGCGATTCATGAAAATTGCACCGAAAATGTCTTCATCGCTTTGTCGAAAGTTAAGACTATCGACATCGCTTGTTACTTCTTATTGCTGTTAATGTACAAGAAGTGACATGGTCTTAATGAAAACCAGTAACTACGAGACTATCAATTATGGAGGCGCATGAAAAAAGTCCTTTGAAGTTTGATCTCTTCAGCTTCAAACCTCTTGCAATGAACCATGAAAATAAGAATAAAGCATAAAGACTTTGAAGAAGATTTGTTGGTAATATCAATGTCAACTGCGCAGCAACTTATCACATAATAGTCGCAAGAGCAGCGTAGACGATCAAGTGGTAAAAGTGCGCCCGTTCTCTTCTCAGAAGAACATCACCTAACACGACTCCAACTCTAACAAACACCTCATACATTCATAACATGTTACATTCAGATACAATACCTTTCCTAGCTCTTTACATTTCGTATATCGACAACGAGATTTGCACTGATTTCAGTACATATTTCTCCGATCGCTATTCGTATCCATCATTCACGAAGCCTCAAACTTTGCGTAGGTTCGGCTGTCAGTTGAGAACTTTGCTTTTTCATGAATATCGCTGAATACCGGTTCTATCCTTTAGAGTCTTAGAATATCTCTGCAGAGCTTTACCAGTTCTTCACCACGGAAATTTCTTCTCTGGTCTTTCGTGATTAGACGAAGTTTTCCTAAGCAAGCAGGGTCACCAATTTGGTCACCTAAGTAGCGGGGAAATCGTTGGCAAACGGCGGTAAATACAATCATCTTTTGTGTTTCCAAATATACTAAAAGATTTGAATGGCAAGTTAAAACTCTACCTCAGCCGGGAGTTGAACACGCGCCTCATCCATACCGGGGACGCGAGCTACCACTGCACAACGGAGGTTACCGGTTACTCACCACTCATTCTTCAATATCTCTCTATCATAGCTATCAGGCACCAATCATTGACAGATCTGGTCAAGTAAGCAACATCGCTCTGTAAACCCTGTTAATCTGGCAGCCATATTACATAACTCCAAGATTTCTTATACTTTTACTGCTTCTTCGCAGTGTCATGAGGTTTCAAATCTTTTTATTCTATAAGACAATTCTAAATAGTGTCATAACTATTCTACTTTAACTTACTATTTTGAAAATAAGAGTGTTTAGAGTCAAATCAAAAAAAGTGTTAAAATCTGTTCAAACTGAACATATCTTGCAATGATTTTCAAGCCATGAAACAACAAAACGCACCGTTCTCGGCTTCATTTTCATTCCATTCATATGTTTGCTGTGAACAATAGAAAGCTTTCACTGTTATTTTATCTCATTTTCGGTTCATTGATGAAATTATTTGATTAGTACATTAATTAACTATTTATCTGAAGCAAATTAAATGCGTATTTACAAAATCTAATTCAAAATTGGGAATAAGAAATTTCATCGTTAAGAAGAAAAATTACCCGATAAAGAAGACTTTAGCGTAATTCTCTTCACTCTCAATAAAAAGTAAAGGGCTTAGATGAACATAAATAAGTTCATCATGGAGAGTCCTAACGAAACACCTCTGATTACCGTTGTGAACGCATAGGATGGAAAAATACAAAGGGTGAAAATTTGAAAAAATTGAAAGAAACTGGGAGGATCATCATACATGCTTTTTGGGTAGAAATTTCGTTATGAGAGTTTTTTGACGCTTCTCGCTATAGCTTGACGAATACAACTGGCCACTGAAGAGACACTAACGAACGTCATCGGCTTCGATACTGCCAAGCATTCTATTCAGCTCTAGACGATTTCTTTTGAACACCGATGTCGATGGTGCACAGAATTTGGTCAAACCAACAACTGAAATTAATTCTAGATGGATAAAAGCTGAGAGTATTTTTAGTCTTGATCATTTCCGTATATGGCATTCATGAAGACATTCACAAATGTCAGTACTGGCTGACATTTATTCCGTGATTGATCTACTAAGCGTGAGAATCCTATGGAAAACGCCATAGAGTAAACATGAAGACGTCAAGTTCATTTTGCCTTCCCCGCTAATTTAACTGAAATTCGTTGTCTTTCTCCATGAGGTGCGCCCATCAATGCAAAAGAAACGAGTATCAAAGAGATTGTATAACGGATATAAGCTTATGAAATACAAGAGTTACCTAGATGTGAACTAACTAAAAATTCACGCGATCATATAACAATAATCAGACATCGACGGCTGACATGTGAAATTGATGAAAAACCAATTTAAAAAGTTATGAGAAGTGGATTGATTTACGAAAGCGAATGGTAGTTTGTCAAAAAACTTATTAATGGTTTTTTTGGGGCAATAGAGGTTAATGAAGGAAAATAGGAAGACAAAGTTTATAAAATACTATTTGTGAGCATACAGATCACTATTGGAGGGCCTCGTGACATAACCAAGAGGAGGTGAAACTGAGTAAAATCGAGAACAAGGTGAAGTTGAAGAATTTCAAGCGTAAATAACGAGAAAATGGCTGATTGTTAGAGAAATGCTCTTGCGATCTTATCTTCATCAAATCGGTTTCATTCACATTCTTTCGATAAAATCAATCCATACGTTAGAAAACCTTAGACTTTAGAGAATAGATGAAATATGGATAAAGCAAATTAAATTAAAACTACATTCGGTGAAAATGGCAGTTAAGTGCCAATAAAATCATCAAGAAGCGACTTTAAGGCGATCATAAGATCTGTCGGATTATATTGAAGATTTTAGAAGTCATCAGAAGCGTAATGCTTACGATTTATAAAACAAAAACAATCTCAACAACTCTTCGATGTTCTGCTTACAACGGAATTTGGCATGATTAAATAGATATCTATACTTTATTAACAGAGTTGCGATGTCAGTAGATTATTAGCGATATTGTTGTTGAGCATAACAAAAATAAAAAATTTCCACAATATTCGAAAGCTATCCAAATATTGTGTCACTTATGACTTTCTTTCAACGGAAAGTAAGCCATAATGGGAACAACTATCAAATAAACCAAAAGCGGTCATGTGGATGGTTAATATTCGATTGAGTAAAATCTACAGACCTGAATATGCGAGAAAACCTTTCGTACCACGTAGAAAAACAAAAACAAAAACGCTGTTATGAAATTTTTTAAGAACTAAATCAGTTCCGCAACAGATTGTGATAGGCAAAATGTTCGATTCCAACATTCTATAACATCTCACCTCGCCCTGTAATTCAATCCTTTTTTCCCAGTCGTATCAAGCGAATTCGAATCGACTAAAGCGGTAGCCATTTCCTTTTTCACTTTTGGAAGTCACAAAATGTAAGGATAATATAGCGATGACCGATGAAGCTTCGAAAGAAGGAGAGAGAGTCGAAAGCACAACGTAAGAACTGTGCTCCACCGCGCGAAATGCAGCTGGCGAATTGATGAACCACTAATCTTTGACAGAGCCGAACCTGCGACGAATGTGTTCTTATTCGCATCATTATACATCGAGTAGAATTACAGATTAAAAAAAGCCGAATAAAGAACAACGAGCGTATATCGAAATGTGATTTATGGGGAATAATGTTAAACTTCAAAACGCTACAGATTTTTAATTTGAAAACTGCCCCTTTTTTCATAACAATAGAAGATAGGCTTTGATCAAAGCTGAGATAAGTGACGACGTGATCAACAAACGAATTTGAGAATGCTACAGCGTTTAGAAATTCCTCAAATTTGTACTTTCTGAGAAATACCTCTACTAAGCCCGAGCGACGGCGAAGAGTAATGAAGTGATATGGCATATTGAGAAAAATATCAACGGGACGATTTTGGTAAACATAGACGTAAATGCCTCCAGAGCTATTGACACTAACTTAATCCATGCTAACATCTCGGATATTCGACCATCTACGCAGTTCTCGATCTGCCGTTGGACCAATTATAACGTTTGCTGCAGCTTTGGATGGCAGCATCGTGAACGGCAGCAATTCTCCTCTATTTTACAAAAACCACCACTGATTGCCAGATGTGAGGACCATGAAATATTTCAGCACGGCTATTCCGGGATTACAGCAAAAACGACACCCGACCACCACTTAACCTCAGTGGAAAGAGAACAGCGTGGCTTCTCAAGGGTGCGATCGAAGCCACCCTCTAATTAGACCACCTCTATGCAACAAATGGAAGAGCTCGTGGGAAACGCACAACATATGACGAGTCATTCAATGTACGAACTAAGTAATTGAGTTTTGGAGTCATATTTTTCAATCAACTATCTGTAGTAGCAAAGTGGAAACAAAATTCAATAAGCAAAATTTAAGTCATTCACAAATTCTTCTCATGTAACACGACTAGTACTATCATGCGTTTCTGAATCAGTGTTATGCACGCATATGTATATATAGAAGTGCATATAGCGTTGTGGTTAGAAGTGCTTTGTGTCGCACATGAGGTCAATGGTTCGATCTCATGACCCAAGCAATCCATCCATCCGGGGTCGTTAAATTGGTAGCGGATTGATCGCAGATTTGTCTGTGAGGATAAGCAGCACTCACTCGGTTGGGCGGGAGGCCACCGCGAGTCATTGTAAAGGCCACAAATGCATTCAGTCACCTCAAACGAAGTCAAAAATTGAAGACAAATGCATGGCCAATCTTTCAGGGATTGATAAACGCTGAGAGTTTTATCTTTTAGCCTTTTACCAGATTGATGCAAAAGTAATGACAGTCTATGCACAGTTGAAAATTTGTTCAAAACCGCATTTACTTTTGCACCAATCTCACATGTAATGGGAGGCACTATGTGCGTTTGAGATGAACTGCATTGCACAAGTGGTCGTAGGTTGGATTTCGCGCAGTGAGCTCAGTAAGCCATTCACTTTCCCATGGTCGGCGACTTCGTGCCAAATATGTCCGCGAGGATATTACCAATGATCTGACACGTTAGCGAGTCACTGCTAGCCACTGTATACGTTATTCTATACGTTCGGTCATCTACGACGATCCTTGATGAGATCGAATGTGTGGCAGATTCTCCAAGGATTAGTCATTGCCAAATGATTTTCACGCCTGTATAAAAGCCTACCTTGTTGCGCATGCACCATCCCGTGAACCAGTATCATGCAAAGTACACGAGGCCGTTAAGAACGCGTAACACATTTTTTAGGCGTTCACCCAAATTTATCGAATCGCGCCGACCACCACACTTTGCTTGCTCGAGCTTGCATGTTGCTCTTACAGTCCTGACCTTGACGGCAACTGGAACTGGAGCACTTGGCGAAGAAGAGCGCACTTCAATAAGTCACTGGTAGTTGACTAACTTAGAGGCTGTGATATCAGATATATTGCTACATCTGCTTCGCAGTGCGAGTTGGACAAAGGAAGTTTTTTTCAGACAAAACGAACTACACATACTATTCTGAAATCAAGCTCGAGAGGCCCGATAAATACGCAAATATAGTGAAATAAGTTGAAAGATGGTTTATTCCGCTGACGAAGGCGACAATGAGGCATGCGAGGACTGTAGTGAGGCTAGCAGCGCTACGACGCAACCAACAACGCGCGATAACGGGCGAATACAGGTGACAGTATAACGCCTGCGTACGAATGCAAATTCTGAAATGTTATACGTGCAGCAGAAGTAAAAAATGATTAGTAATAAACCACAATGTTGCGTAATAGGATGGATCTAAAGTCATACACTGATATTAATGGTAAGGACATAAATGGATGGCTAACGGATGGTGGAAATTAGAATCGTACTGATGAATGGACTCCTTGATTTGATTTACTGCTATCAGTAATGCAAAATAGCTGCATAGATATTTCCTACTACGTAGGTATTTACATGGACGGAAAGTGGGGAAGTAGAGTGCAGTGGATAGTGAGTGCACGCTGTCAGAAAACAACGCTCGACGCCTTCGACAGGA